CATTCACTAACCAATCAAGCCATTCAGTCTTCCAATCAACACTTAAAGGATATAATCACTTATATTCTTTTCCGTCATTTTTCAGTATTTTTATTAGTTTCATCTTTAATTAAAAGTTTTTGACTGAAAAAGTGCAAATTTTGATGAATTTTTTTCCTCTGGGGGAAAAAGGCAAAAATAAAACAAATATTAGCGATTGGCGCGAACAGACTGGTTGGTCTGACTTGCCGGTAAGCGCCATCTTTAGCGTCCCAGAAAGGAGCCAAGAAAATGAAGCCGCGTAGAACATAAGAAAACTCCATCGAACAAGGTTTTATGAAGCGATTCCAGAAGTTTGTTCAACCCACTTGGTGCAGAGGGAGTCGATACTCACAGTTTCTTTGACGACGAACCCCGGGATGCTGACGGATATGATCCATCAGGCAGTAGCACGAGAGGTTTTTACGCTAGACAAACCGAGTTGAGAAACAAACAACATCCTTGTCGAGAAACGAATCAAAGTCACTTCCCGACCGTTTCAAAAAATGTTAGAGTAATAATGACGAGAAATTTTTGAGCAGCCATGAGCAATTTCAACTGGCAAAAACGACATTTAGCTGAGCTTTGCATCATGCGTCAACAACGCCTTGCAGTTAAAATTATCACATTAGTAATTGATAGTTAAGAATCAACACCTAACTGCAACTGTGAAATTTTTTTAAACATCAAAAAACGTGACCATTTCGATTGAAGAAGAAGTTTATATTTTAATCTTTAGTTATCCGAAATGATCAGCCAATTTTAAGTGTTAACTATTTGAAGATTTTCTGTTCACGCATGGGTTATGCTAATTTCAATCACTTTCCTCTCAAAAATTTGAATGTGGTTATCAAACGGATCAGTATGATTCAAAGTTAAAATCATATTATAAATTAGCTACTATTTTTTCGTTTTATCATTTTTGAAAAGAACAATGAGTTCAGAACAGTTTTTAAGGTCATATTTGTGTACTTTTTGTTTTGTAGTATTTCAGGCAAATGTACAAACCTTTGTAGTTCTCATCAGCGAAGCAGTAGATTCAGCATCAGTTAAATGTCATTAGGCAATTAAACCAAGGTAAGGAAGCCATTCACTCACGAATCAAGCCATTCAGTCCTCCATCCAACACTAAAATCATATAATCACATCTTTTCTTTTCCGTCATTTTTCAATATTTTCATTTATTTCATCTTTAATTAAGAATTTTTGAGTAAAAGATAAAGTGCAAATTTTGATGCATATTTTTCCTCTGAGGGAAAAGGGTGTAAACTTAAGAATAATTAGTGATTGGTGCGTATAGACTGGTTGGGCATATCTTGTTTCGGTTTTAGCAAAAAAGGGATGCGTTGATTTGATGAGGAAAATACAGGGCGAACAATCAAATCGTTTCTAGCTAAATAGGCAAATTTTGTCATCCATACAGTGAGCTCTTAAAATTTTTGAGAGCAAAATCTCAGTTTTTTCTGGATGCCATCAAGCTTGGGGTTCTGTGTTTGGGGAAAACTGGGATTTGCTATCGGCAAAAAACGAACGTGAGGTGAAAAATCCGATCAAATCCCTCGGTTTCAACGCGCGCAGAGATATCGTCGTTAGCACATTTCGATGCCACATTAATGCAAACCGAATAAATATGTCGTCAATAAACACTTCCGAGAGATGTTTTGCAATAATTTGGCCGATTCTTTTCAGTTTTTTTTGTAGACTTGGATGAATTACTTAAACTGTTCACTTTTTGTTTTTTTTTTTCTAAATTAATTGTTATCTAAATTACCGTTTTCTTTTTTCTGTGTGCAGTATGCATTGTTAATCTTAACTAAATATCGACCGGATACAATTAAAAGGTACTGAACATTGATATTGAACACAAATCTTGATACTGAACGTGCTGACTAAGTTTTCGTGTTAATTGAGTGCCGAGTTTCAAGAAAATACGTATTTTTTTGCAAAAAAATTGATTTTGATAGCAATTAGTCTGCAATTACTTTTCCGCTGAACTTCTTTCTTCCCATCCAAATTTTCAAAAATTTTAGAGATGAAACAATATTTGGCTACGTGCAAAGCGATCTCATTGTTCCACATAAACTTAGATGTAACTTCTTAAGTTTTCCACTTTTTTAAAAAATATATCGAGGCTACAAGAAACGAGTATTTGAAAACATTTGCAAAGAAGAATTTTTTTGATACAAAGTTGATATCGAACCTAATTTCACCGAGGGAACTTTAATTACACACTCACTTTTGTTTAGAACTTATTCTATATGGTTAAAAAAACTTATCGATTTTATCAAAACACACAAGAAAAAAATGTTCAACAATTGAGGCTAGGTGATCAGGCGATGAGAATCCCTCATGTGACTTGGTAGTCAAAAGTTTTTTTTTGAGATTGTTTTGAATTTGTTATCAAATAACGTGCAGGTCAAAACAAACAATGACAAAGTCTCCTGGTGACAAAAAACTACAAAGCTATCAACAATTAGTTCTTCAAGAGATTCAAAGTTGTGGCGAACGACTTGTGTGAATTGCAGCTTGCCAAATTTAATATAGAGCTTCAAGAACCGATAAATGAAAGATTATTTATAGTAACTTTCATTAAAAAGATCGTAAAAAGATATCTACTGAGGTTGCTGGAGCTAAATTGTAATTTTTTATGAAGTTCGAGGTTATAACAAAATTGGAGAGCGCAAAATGGACACAATTTCTCTCTATTTGGCTTTGGCAAAATAAAAAACTTTTGTTTGTGTTATTACTAGCAAGAGAACAGAATGCACAGAAAAGCAGAATAGATTACCGTGAAAATTTTAGAGCAGACTTGTAAGACAGCTTTTTTCACCGTAATTGTTGCTCCAAACAAAAAAATGTCACAAGAGAAAACCAAGATCGTTAAAGGAAGAGTTCTCCACAGTGAACGATATTGCTGTTACGATACTAAAAAACAAACCTATAAGTTTAACTGTAAAAGACTGAACAAATAAACATTGGAAAATTCTAGAATCTGGACGATGGCCTTTTATCTACACGTATTGGATGAGGCAGTGAATTGAAAGTCAACCAAAAGACACTTCGAAATGATCAACAACAAATTTTTTTTAAAAAAAAGCGAAGGTGAAGTTGAAGGTGATAGAATTTTAAAAAAATCTAACATTTTAAAAAGATGATTAATTTATTTGTATACTAAATTAAGTTTTTTTTTACTGTAAACTATTTCCAACAAAAAAGTTACCATCTGAAACTTGCCATACAAAATTTATAACCTATATTATTACATGGAAAACCTATTCCCATAACTCAATTATTACATGGGTATTATCACCCCTCGGGATGAATTTATCGGACATATACCACTCGCAGTGCTATTGTATTCAAACTTTAAATCGTGTTTCTTATAAAAAAAAATCACTACAAATCAATATTTCAGTTTTTATCAAGCTTACCGTAACTTTTATCTTGTTATCCGTATTCCGTTCTCAATCTCTCATTTATCGTCAATTGTCATCTATTTTTCCTGGGTTCCTTATAATCACCGTCTCATGAACTCTCTTACGACAACCTCCTCTTATTAACACGAAATCAAATTTTTAAATCAATATAAGTATACTTTTTCATATAATTACATTTCGAGACCAAACTGTGTATCTTGTACATTTCAGCGGATTCCGCAGCAATGTTGTTCTCTTGTTCTTCTTTTGTTCTTTCGTTTCCTTGATCGTACCGTCAAAAACTTGACATTTTAAAGATTTGTTTCTGGAATCCAGGAACATACAGGCACAAAACTGTACGCCTATCCAGAGCACAGTTTGGTCTCGTGATGAAGAAATTTTGAGATTGAACATCAAAATTGAAACGATACTATCAAAACAAAGCACCACTATGATATCAGGACTGAGCACCAGAACTCCATACAAAAATTTAAAATTAGCAAAATAAGAAAGCAAGGTTAGTATTTGTTTTGGTAATATCGTTTCAGTTTGTTATTATCAGAAAACTAGGGCGAACAATTTTTTGTTCAATCTCAAAATTTCTTTCTCTCATGCACCCAAAAATAATCTTTGACAATCTGCAAACTAAAAAAAAATCGTAAAAAGGCACTAAAAGTCTGGTGTTATAAATTTTCATTATAGTGTCATGTTACAATTGTTTTAGTTTGCAGTTTGTCAAAGATAATTTTTGGGTACATGAGAAAAAAAATTGAGATTGAATATTGAAAATGTCACTCTAGTTTTCTGAAATTAATAACCTGAAACGACACTACCCAAACAAAACACCACTATTATATCAGGACTGATCAGCAGCACTCCATACAAAAATTGAAGATTAGCGAAATAAAAAAGCAAGTTTACTATATCTTCGGTAAAAAGCAAGTTTAGTAAACTAGAGTGACATTTTTAATGTTCAATCTCAAGTATTCTTTATTACGACGCCAAACTGTGCACTGGATAGGCGCACAATTTGGTGTCTGTATGTTCTTAGATTTCAGAAACAAGTCATTAAACATGTTAAAATTTTGTCGGAGCGATCAAAGGAAATTAAAGAACAAAGAAGATCAAAGGGAGCGTCCTTGATGCAGAATCCGCTTACAGTTCGCAAAATGCACAGTTTGGCCTCGTAATGATTTTTCTCATGTACCCAAAAATTATCTTTGACAAACTGCAAACTAAATTTATCGTAAAATGGCACTATGTTTAGAGTTTTATGGTATTTTTTGTCTATTAGTGAGGAAGTTCAATCTAAAATAATTTTAACAAATTAGTTGGCTCCGTTTTTTCATGTTTCCAAGGTTGTTGAGTCTCGACTCAATTTTAATGAGCCTTATGTTGCTACTAGTGGATCATTTATGAATGCAAAACCATTTAATCAAAGAATGACTTGTTTTGTTCAGTTTTTAGAATGTGGATATAAGGAAAAGGTTGAAATTTTATTTCTGATGGCTGTTTAAGTTTGTTTTTGACTTGCGCTAGTTTGAATTAGTTGAAGCCACTTTGCTTCTGACTGTTTTTGCAATATTGGAAAGTCGCTGAATCAATCTGATAATTGGTTCATGAAAGGGTTTCATGAGAACTATCAGAATGATAGAATTTACAAATCCAAATGAGATCTTCACGGTTCGCAGGGACGCTTTGATAGCCAATATCATAGTTGCATGAGTCAAAGAGATTGAATTCCATTCATAGTCAAGTGCTTCGAACTGCTCTTTCTTTATGAAAAACTCGTCCATGAATTGTTGAAATGAACCAGTGTAAGCTGCTCCAATATTGAGACGTTCGTCACTCGTGGAGCCAGTGATTGCTTCCTTCAAAATATCGGGTGTTACTAACAGAACCCAAGAAATCCACAAAATTGCAAATGTTTTTGACAAGAGTTCTTTTCGATCCAATTGTTTCATTCCTCGCAAGCAATGCCAAGTTCTCCAATATAGAAATCCAGAACATAGAATAGAAGAGAGATGGAACACAGCTGGAAGAACTATCGTGTGAACATAAGTAGGAAGCGAACAGAATTTGCACTAAAATGTTTAGTCTTTTTTTCAGGAGAACGCAATCTCTACAAGGCCAAACCACATTTTTTGCGTTTAAATTTTGTGCAAAAAAACTTCTGCAAAAAATTGCTAAAAAAGTTACTGAATGTAGTAGTGTTTGGCGTACAAGTAACGCTGTTGGAAGGAAGGGCTGAGCAGTGCGCAGAAAAAAGCAGGAGTAAAAATTATGGATTGTTCCAGAACATTCATACACGTATATTGATATAAAAAAAGCACCAAAATTTTAACATATTTAATTCAAGATCACTTCCTACCTCTGAACTATTAAGTTTTTTTGCAGTGTTTAACCCTAATTAACCCTAATTCTTACCTGTGGTTGTTGAATAGTTTCAACGAAGTAAATTCAATTGCATAAAGTTTTTTGAAATATACTTCATAAACATGGATGTACATTGAACACTCAATAGCTTAATTACCTGAGTGTTTAAGAAAAAAAAACCCTAGGCAAAGTCAGACAAGTAATAAATCTATAATTATATACCAAGAAACTAGGATGTACAGAGTACGTGTAATTTGTACTGCATAGTTTTATAATATGAGCCAAAAAATAGTTTGACCAAAAAGCATGAAGATAAAAGTAAATCAGCATAAAAAGAACGCGCTGAAACTTACTCGGAACTATAATTGGTTAGAATGCTGCTGCCTCATTTCTGTAAGTATGACTCATCAAGGCTAATAAACAACTACTTATTTCCTGTAATTGTTGTTCCGACTTTCGATACGAAAGTAACGGAATATTTGTGCTCGGGGTGGGTTTTTTTCTTCAGACAAATTTCGACTTTTTAACTAGCCCTTTTTGACGGAAGTTTTTTATATCATTCGAAAGGTATTGTTGTCCTGAGCTCAAACTTGAAAAGATATTTCACCTGTGATCTTTTTTCGTAAAGTTATGGGGGTTTAAAGATTGCCATTTTGGCCAATTTCGGACAATTAACGCGCGATATATTTCGCGCTATTAACGCTTCAGCGAGATTTAATCCATCTTAGAAATCGTTCCAAATTGGTTAAAAGAAGCTTATTTGCCATAAGTGATTTGTTACAAGGAGCGAAATCTATCCTTTTGTTTTTTAGATGGCGTGTGGGGTGATGATTTTCATAAAAAATTTCAAATTTTAGAAAAAAAAATTTTCTTTTTGTTTTATTTCATTGAATTGTTTAATGTTATTACTGCTCCATAAACCTTAAAAGGCAGTCGGAACCTTCAGGGCTCCGCCCCCGATACGAGCAGTCTTGTTAATTTTTGGCTCCAGTTATGAACAGAAAAGTCATCAGCATCAGGAACTGTGTCTAAAAAACTATACAGTGTTCAAGTATTGCCTCATCATATGTAATATCAATCATCAGGTTTATGTTTGATCAACATATATTTTTTACCACTGAATTTTTGATCACGAACATGAACACAGACACTACTACCTGTCAAAAACTTTGTTTAAAAATGTGCATGTCTCGAGTTTTGCCTCGTCAAATGTAGTTTCCAAAAGGTATGCATTGTTTAAATTTTGCCCGAATATTTTTAGTATGACTCATCAAGTTGGCTTACATCATCTTGTTTCCTAAGGTTTTCTTGTTATTGGAAGGCAATTGCTCATAAAAATAGCTCAGCAAAAAAACCATGCCTATGAAAATGTAGATTATGAGTAGTTTGTCTCTCATCAACGTTATGTTAACTCATCACATGTATTATAAAGGAATTTTGAACATAAGTACCTAAACTTAAAACTTGCTCAAAATTGAAGTTTTGATATAGAAACCAGTTGGTCAGTTTCCGCGTCACTTAATTGATATGACTTACCTAGTTCTACTTATTTGATTTACTTTTCAATAACTACTGATTTTAACATCGATAATCAGTAGAAGTTTATATGGCAAAGAATAGCATGCTTACGAAAAGTTACAAAATTGGTCTTTCATGTGTACGAAAAAGTAATGACTCATTGAGTTTATGTTAAACTGTTTAGTATGTCAGTTTTTCTAAATTTTTGACCGAACCAATGAAATATATCATCTTACTAAGTACGACTCATCGAAGTCAAGTGGAGGTAATTGATTTTACATTGTCCATGGATTGTTTGAGCCTAACCAATTTATCTTCTTTGCATTTGACCAAAAATCATTCTAACAAAAATACGGAAAAATTTTTGATCGGCACTGAAAAGGAGCATTTTGAGATGAAAAACTAAGTCTTTACTTCATTAAGAATTGAAAGTTCTACTTAAGTTGAAGAAAAACATGTCTGCTTTTTTGAATTTTTCACTAGAGATCAAACGAACATGATCAAGAAAAATTTTATCTCAGAAGCCATTTGAGATGTTTTTGTCAACAATCATCAACTTAAGAATGCAATTTTATTAAAAAGTCAATTGGGTGATTGGAAACTGGATTAATTTTAATTTAAATCAATTTAAATGAGACTAGATAGATTTCCCAAAAGTTACAAAGTAGAAAAAATTAATTGATTTTTCAGTATTACAGGGGCTAAAATTTAAAGCTATCAATCTACAAAATTTGATGTTACCCTTGATGAAAAGTAATCGGACACAAAAATGAACAGAACATTGTTGAATTTTACAACATTTTTTCGAAATCAACTTGCAATTAAACACTAGTTAAAAGTTAGAACGAAGTAACAAATGTTCCATTCGTGTTTTTCTGACCTAATGAAATTTGAAATCGATAGGCTATGATTTTTAATTCCTGTGTTTCTTCTTTGAAATGTGACTCATTTTTTTTTTGCTTAAAGTTATAACAAAACAACACTTAAAGTTAAACAACATGAAACCAAACCCAATGAAAATGCCAATGAAAAGAAAAGATGAAATGACTGTGTTGAGCTTTGCAACTGTGAATTTCATGTTTTCTTTTTAGTTAGGAAGTTCAACCTTGTTGCAACCAGAAACAAAAGAAAAACGAAACTGAGCGTACAATTTTTCCTTAATTGATAAGAACGTATAAATACTGAAATTAAATATGTTTAAACACACACTCCAAAAACCAGGATGAAATTTCAAAGAGACTATAATCATTTAAAATTTCATTGAATTTAGAAAATAAGTGAAAAGTCTGAGAAACCCAAGCAGTCATTACGAAGTTAGAATTTTTTTAAAATCCAGTGTTCTCCTGTTTCGTTAAAAAAAACTGATATTTTTACAATTGACACAGTATCAAAACTCAGAAAAGCAAATTAAACTGACGAGATCCGTTGAATAATTTTTTTTGATGAAGTTAATTACGATATCATCTGAAAATAAAAACTCAATCAGTACTGTCAATTGCTCACAAAAACTACTGTCAAGATCCTAAATTATTATTTCTTCCTATTTAACTTTGATTCAACTTTAGCTCAGGTTAAAGATGTGTGCAGTACACCGACTTTTATCCAGAAGTTATAATTTTACGCATTGTGAGAAGACAATTCTTGCCTGATTTTTAGAAATCAGCTTTAGTTGTAGATATTGAATTTGAAATGGCTAAAAAGCGACAAAAATTGTTAAAACATAAAAAACACTTGAGGTCTGCTAAAAAAACTGCAATTTATGCTTCGACTAAGAACAAAACCAAGAACCACTATGACTATAATGCGGAAAAAGAAATTAAGAATGAAAAAATTATATCGCACTACCAAAACAAAGAATCATTTTTCAAGAAAAACATAAACCCAAAGACTAAAATGCTATTTATGCTTCCACTTAGAACGAAACTAAAAACCAGATTCACTAAAACAGTACAAAGCATCAGAATACATGAATCAATAACAATTTCTGGCGTAACTAAACAAAAAAAGCTATTATTAGATTTTGGACAGTAATAAAAAAACAACCAGAGTGTAAGCTTCCGAATTTACTCTGGGCTTTAACATCATGCGGAAGAAAAGCAAACAGTATGTAACCAAAAAAAAACAATAACACACTACTAAATCAAAGCATCAGCTCTCATGAAAAAGAACTGGGTAAATGGTGAGTCTGAAATTGACTCTGAAGTATGATCTCTTTTACGGCTTGAAGCGAGCAGCATTATGAGCTTGTTTATCTGAACTAAAGTTAGTAACACCGGTCCGAACAAAGCAGTTTTTTTAATGCAATTTAAACAGCTATATGTGCAAACAGCTGAACTTTAAATTTGTAAAATGAAGAAACTTTTTTTCGCTAATTGACAAAAGTATCATTCAGTATGTTTGGGAAAGTTCTCTTTATTAATTTTGATTAATTTTTTGAGTTTATCTTTCTGTCTGATAAGTTCTGCAACCGGATCAGAGTCGAAGTTATTTAGTTCCAACTGATTAAAAAAAGCGCCCTTGGAGATCTCTTTTGAAAAATTGGAGTTTTGCATAAAAATGATAAGCAAGTTTGAAATCAAGATTTTGTCTTAGAACGTTCCTGAATTGTTTTTTATAAACACTAACAGCAAAATAAATTTTTATCGAAAAACCGATCAGGAAAGAAAATGACTAATTAAACACCAAATAACTAGCATGCGTTCTTAGTATTATATTGTTTTTTTTAAACAGAAATTACTTAGAAATTCTTTAGTTCACAAAAAGTTATTTTTTACTTAAAATTTCTAATTTCAGAATGAAAGTCTTTGGGCACAGTTTTGTTAAACTTCTTCAAAATACTTCAAATGAGCCAGAATTAGCGGCAGTGAAAAAATGAAAACACAGCAAACAAGATTAGGTTCATAGTATCAGATTAGGTGACACACAATTGTATTTTCAGAAAAAGTACAACAATGCGAAATATAACTATTTCAAAGTTTTCAGAGCTTTTTCCTAATTTCTTTTTTTTATTAGATTGAAATTAAATTCGAACTTTGGAACCGAATTCTGCAAAATTTTTTTAATGGTTTCAATTTTCTATCGTTGTTTGACTGTGGATCTAACTTCAGAATCTAAAGCAAAAATATTGCACAAAAAATAATTTTTATTTAATATAACATTAAATGGTTTTGCCAAAAGTGATCTTATTGTT